TTCGAGTTGTTCGCTCTGACAAAATGTTTATATAAAATTTTTCACCTATTTGTATAAATAAAGTTGAAATTCTATTCATCTTATTCTCTGTTTTTTATACCATGTGTCCATGTATAAGTTTTTATTTATACATGTAAACGTAAAAACTTTTTGTATGCTCCTCGCATGAGTCAACTCGCATACTAAGGCAGAACATAAACAAACTAGCTATATAGTGATCAATTAAAAGGCGTGTTGGTACAAGAGAAATAGAGAAACCTTCGAAAAAGGATAAGTATCTATGCATCACTGCCATGTACCAAAGTTGAGACAGAACTATTTCACTAAACGTGAAAGACGTTTTAGGTTATACAGTGTAGCGTTACGGGGTGTTAGGTTGCTAGTTTTCACTCTTTTCAATTATCTCTTAATAAAGCTGCGCATTGAACAAAGGCATAATCTTACATCGACAAAACATTGACAGGGGGTGGCGAGAAGGGTTCATTAGGTTTGGATAATTTCATTGCAAGATAATAAGATCAACAGAATGCCGGCAATTTTTGTGCCGGTATATGTGCATAATTATGGAAAGCAGAGGAACGCGTAACAGAAAAACAGCTTTTAGTCCTTTAAATTTTAGCCTGCGCGCAGCCCAACTTTCTCTCCTCCCTTTGCTGGGGGGAAAGTTTAACTGTACGTAGGCTATTAAATTATGCAACCTTGGTGCCAGGGTTACTTTATAGTAAGTACCTTCATTTATTTTCTTCATTACTTCGCCGAAGTAATTTTTCGGTTTTCTCTTGCAGAGTTCTGAAATGAAAAAGTCTTACATCAGTCTTAATAGAGTGAGGGAATTTAATGGAGTTTTACGGTCTCCATTCTGATTGCTCATTGGGCTGCGAAGAATTATTGTCAGACCAAAAAATATGCCAAATGTATTTAATCAATTAATCAATAGGCATTTGCAATCACTAATGTCCAGCAATTGTGTATAGTGCAATCAAGTCTTCGTTAGGTGTAGAGATTTATTTTACATGAGTAATTTCTAAAACCTTGTAAAAATAAAGATGGCCATATTTTGTACTTCCTTCACTATAAGCATTTCAAGTCGACACAAATAATCCTTCGTGATTTAGGAAGTTCTAAAAGTTTATCTTGCTGATGTCAGCATTATTTTTAAACACCGTACTCCATCCTCCGTTTTCCTTCGTGAAAATAAGGTGAAAAACGCAGGCGTAGACCTAAAACGGTACACCATTTACATCAAGAAAATAATGAAGGTTCTAATCACGGACAGCCAGAAGAGGGAGAAGCAATTTGCCCTGGGCCCAGGGACCAGATCTTCAGGGCCCAGTTTCATGCATGTATTGAGGAAGGATGTTTTCATTCAGTTTCATGCATGTATTGAGGAAGGATGTTTTTGTTCAGTTTCATGCATGTTTTGAAGAAGGATGTTTTGCATCTTTGCTTGTGAGTGTAAAACTTGTATTTGTGATGTTGAAATGTTGGGCCGTATTATGGAAAAGGTGTATTGGATTGCATTAACAATTCATATTTGATATCGTAAAAGATCTTACCCTGAAACGGTGGAAATCACATTTGCTATCCTCTAAATTTCCAACGTTTAGTTTAAAATCTGAAAAACTAACCCTACAAATGTTATTTGAGGTAGCTTCACACGATGCATACACAGTGGTTCAAAACTAACCATGCTATTTCTGTGATCCGCTTGATAGGAAGCACATTTCAAGCGGAACGCTAACGCTGACCTTATGTGAACTATTATAAGAATTAACACAAAAATTTTTGAGCAGATTTATCCAAAATTTATAAGACATCTGTTAATGAAGTGCCTTCTCTAAAAACCCACTAAAGACTTGAGAAAATAAGGCGTGTGGTAGTATATTGGAAATTCTTCAATTTTGAAAATGGAAGTACACCACTAACTGAGAACGTAGCAATCATGATCATACAATAACATCAGATTATAACAATCCAATAATTAGTTACAGTATCTGCCACGTGCAGCGGATAGTACGGATACAGTCAAATGCTGCACACGTCAGAAATCAGAATTGGCGACTCCTGCCTATTTATTTCTTATTTTTCTTTTGGTTAAGGACAAAAAAAATAAAAAAGTAAGGTACCAGTAATTAGAACTTTGATATGTAATAACCTTTATTGCGTTTGTTGGCAAGATTATTTTGCTATTATGCTGTGTGGTCTTGCTTCACGTTTGTAACTTTGCTTTGAGAGCAAGAGTTTTGTAATACCAGTAATACTGGATTTAGGCCGAAGTTCATGTTAATATTTTAAGTTGGATGTGACAAAGTTTAAGAATTGGTAGACTAAATATTCTACTGAAATGGCTATGTTACGTAAAGCTTTCAAATTCCTAGCGAGTTTAATAACTGGCCGTACTCCAAAAGTACCGTTCGCAGGATATTATTTACCATCTTTGTTAAATGTGACTGGTGACCCTACAGAGCTTTATTGCCCGAATGACAGGGTAGCCAAATACCCATATTACTGCCTGTGATCAGTTTTATTTGCCAAGTAGTTCTCTCAGCTTAGTGAAGATTCGAGTTAAAGTGAATAAATATCTAACATCGGCAGACATGCCATGTTTAAATTAAAGGGTGCATATTTCACAGGGAGTAACAAGTGCATAAACCATTATGTTTTTGGCACTTTGAATGTGCCATATTACTTAATTGGCTATGCCATGCAAGAAAATTCCAAATGTGTATTATGTATTTCAAATATGTCATAACCAAGGCACACCTTAACCCATAAGGGGCCGTCTACAAATAGATTTTGTCCCGCATGTCACAATCTCATGCAATTTAGTGAATGTTTTATTTGCTTTCGCATTTGCCATGTCAGTGGTAAGACAATAAAGTACATTTATCAATGTTGTTGTGGGCACCAGCTAGCTGACATAAGATACGACCATTGTTTGGGGTGCCCCATTGCATATTTTCAAATCAAGAATACTAGATACTACTGACAATTTTGTACTATCTGGACCTTGCAAGATAAGGTAGTTCAATACCTTTTATCCTACGCCATGGCAAGTTCTTCACGCCGTAATCATAGCGTAGTTCCTCATTCTTTAATATTTTCTTTTTAGCAAAGAGGGCTAAATGATGTTGGCCATCCACAATTACCTTATTGATTAGGCAATTGGCCAGTTTTGTCTCACTGTCATTGACCATTCTGCCAAGGCCCGTGGCAAATGTTGCATCAACACTTTATAAAGGTAAAATATCCTATAAGCTTGATGTTATCTGACAGAAAAGAGGTTGAGGCAAGTACCTAATTTTATATAGTCTTTGATTTATCTTTATGAAAATATAAAACCTACCAAGGAGAGTCAAAAAAGAACAAGAAGCTGCCAAGATCTTTTTGGTAGGCTTCTTCGCATCTAGTTCCTTCCTCCTTTTTAATCAATTCCCCCTTATATTCAAGGAGGAATTCTCCTTTTTCGAATTCCCGTTTTGTGAAGACCCCATAACCTATTGTATAATTAAAAACAAAATTCTAAATTAGCAGGGTGAGGAATTTCTGTTTGGCCTAATTTTGGACTTATTACATTTAAATTTCCTGTATAAACTATAGTTCTAAAGCAACATATATAGAGCAGGCTAGTTAATTAAGACTTAAGTGCATATACCTATGATGTTATTAATATATCTTTGCTCAAGGTCTTCACTAATCTTGGGCAATTTCTCATCGTTGGGCTCTTTTTGTCTCTGCAAAGCAAGCATCAACGTACGTACATTATGAATTTTCACATATATATATATTTATATATATACATATATATATATATATATAATTATATATATATATTATATATTATATAGAAATAAATAATATTATATAATATATAATATACATATATATATATATGTATATATATATATATATATAATATATATATATATAATATATATATATATATATATATATATATAATATATATATATATATAAAATATATATATATATATATAATATATATATATATATATAATATATATATATATAATATATATATATATATATATATATATATATATATATAACTGTCGTTGTCAAAAACGTTGTCCTGAGCAAGTATATGTATATACCGATCACGTGATATTACCATGCATCAACACGCGTGGGATTGTACAAGCGTGTTAATTGCGAGTTAGAGTATAGCAAGGTGAACGATTAGAAAATGCCAAGACCATATTCGGATGATTTAAGGTGGAGAATGGTTTATCAACGACTGTTCTACGAAAGAATCATCGACGAAATTGCAGCACAGCCATTTGTTTGTTCAAAAACCGTCTATCGTACTCTCAGCACCTTTTGGAACACGGGTGATGTGAAGCCTTGCCGTATGGGTCGCCCAACAGCGAGCGTATCTTTATTCCCACACGAAGAATATATTATTATGGACTGTTTACTGCAAACGCCGCAAATATAGTTGAATGAGATAGCAAGCTATATCATTAATGCTACTGGCTCTGCATTTGGCCCGGAGACACTGTGCCAAGCTCTATATAGGCTTGGAATAACACGCAAAAAGGTACGAAAAAACTGATTAAGCGTCTCGACGAGAAACTGAAGTTAACTGTTGTTAGTTCACCGGGAATTAGCAATGGAGCGGTAGATGAAGTAAATGTGGGGGCAAGTACGAGTTTTGCTGCGAGTAAAGATTCAAGCGAGGTGATCACAGCTGCTAAGAGACATGTCGTGCAGGTACGTGCAAAGCTACCAAAACTAGAAGTGAAAAGATTCGATGGAAATCTGTGTAATTTTCAAGAGTTTTGGGACTCGTTCGAAAGCTCCATATATCGTAACGATGGCTTATCAGACGTTGATAAGTTTAACTACCTACGGGGGCTCGTAGACGGATTGGCGAAGGCATGTATTGCAGGGTTTTCGTTGACTTCGGCAAATTATATATCGGCGGTGAATATTCTCAAAGAAAGATACGGAAAGAAATCGGCGGTTCAGCGCGCCCATATGAAAAAACTGTTGAAGGTTGACGGCGTGAGAGATGAAAACGATGTTTCCTCGTTACGACGGTTGTGTGACAGGGTCGAAACAAATTACAGGGGTTTGGAAGCACTCGGAGTCGACAAAGAATCGTATTCGTCCATTGTTGTGCCATCGGTCCTCGACAAGTTACCGGAATCTGTGCGACTATTAATTACACGGGGAAAAAATTATCATGAGTGGACTCTAGACGATTTACTGACACCACTAAAAGAGGAAATTTCGTTGCGCGAGGAGCATCATCACAAGGATGCAGAGCGTGGTAAAGACGGGCGTGAAAGGGGAGACAGACGTTGGAATTGTGGAACAACAACGACGCAAGCGTTTTTGACGAAAGGGGGAATGGCGAATTGTGCGTTTTGCCTTGGTCAGCAACGCCATGAAGATTGCAAGAAAGTAAAGACTCTGGAGAACCGTAAGCAAATAATTAGAAAATATTCTCGTTGTTTCAAATGCTTAAATAAGGGACACATAGCGAGAAACTGTAGTATAAGAGTAAAATGTAGTGCATGCAAAAAAGAACATCATACAGCCTTGTGTGATGCGGAGAATAACCCAGAGGGCCTGGAGGTAGAAGGGGAGGAAGGGAATTTAAGTCCTACCAATGGCACGGGTACTATAGCTACTCTAGTTGTTAGTCCAAAAAATAAGGTTAAGTCGGGATGTAGTGTGGCGTTGCAGACGGCTCAAGCAATGTTGGTTGGGCAGAAAACTGCGCGAGTGAGAGTGTTGTTTGACTCAGGGAGTCAAAGGTCCTTTGTCACTACAAAACGGGCTAGAGAATTGGGTTGTAAGATGTTGCGGAGAGAATCGTTGAGTGTTGGGACGTTTGGGCAGAGAGCTTTGAAGTCGGAGGTGCGAGAGGTTGTTCAGTTGGATTTGAAGTCTGTTCGAGGTGATGAGGTTGTGTCGGTTGAGGCCTATGTTGTGCCAGAGATTTCTTTCATTAGAAATCAGCATTTGGAGCGGGTACGGGATAGTTACCTGCATTTGAAGGGTCTTTGGTTGGCAGATGTATGTATGTCTAATGTAGAGTTGGAAATCGATGTTTTGGTTGGTGCTGATTATTTGTGGATGTTTCACGGGGATCGTATTGTGCGTGGTAAGGCTGATGAGCCTGTGGCGATCGAGACTTTGTTGGGCTGGGTGTTGTCGGGACCAGTTGGATTGGCAAGTCGAGATGCGGATGATAGTGCGGTTGTGAGTATTGTAAGTTGTGAGCCAGCCGTAGATGTAGGTAGGTTTTGGGAGTTAGAGAGCATTGGGATTAAGGCAGATGTAGACGTGCATGAGTCAGTTATCAGCGATTTAAAGTTTAATGGGCAGCGTTATTCAGTAGGTCTACCTTGGAGGGAGAATCACGATCCGTTGCCGTCGAATTATGAGGTGAGTATCAAACGCATGAAAGGCCAGATTAGGCGTCTCACTAAGGATCCTGAGTTACTGTCTGAGTATGATGCAATAATTAAGAATCAAGAACAGGTAGGTATCATTGAAAGAGTAAGCAAGGATGAAATAGGTCCGGATTCTAAGGTACATTATATTCCCCACCAAGCCGTGGTTCGTAGAGATGCTAAAACTACAAAAGTTAGGATAGTGTATGACGCGTCGGCGAAAGCGCAAAAGTCTAGTGTTTCCTTAAATGATTGTCTGCATGCTGGACCGTCTCTTAACCCGCTTTTGTTCGATATTCTTGTCCGTTTCCGAGAGCAAAGTGTAGCGCTAGTTGCGGATATAGAAAAAGCGTTTTTAAATATTGAAGTGCATGAAAAAGATAGGGACAGACAGTCTTAGATTTTTGTGGGTTGATGATGTTTTGCGCAACAATTTAAACCCTATAGTGTATCGATTTTGTCGGGTAGTGTTTGGAGTGAATTCGTCGCCTTTCCTGCTTAATGCCACGCTAAGACATCACATAGGTAAGTATGCGCTGATGGATGCGGAATTTGCCGAAAAAATGCTAAGAGGGTTTTACGTAGACGATTTAGCAACCGGTGAGAAGTCTACAGAAAGGGCGTATTTGCTTTATACGAAAGCTAGAGAGCGCTTGGCAGAGGGCGGATTTAATTTGCGTAAATGGCGCACAAACAACAACGAATTGCGGTTGCGCATTGAAAGGGAAAACTCAGAGCAAAACGGTGCCAAGGGACTTGAGCCAACGTATGCCAAAACAGCACTTGCGTGCCAAGGCGGAGATCAAGTTGATAAGGTATTAGGGCTCGAGTGGGATTGCGTGGGAGATACAATTAAGTTTAATTTTGGCCATTTGACCCAGAAAGCGCAAAGTTTAGAGCCTTCGAAGAGAAATGTTTTGAGCCTTCTTGCTTGTATATTTGACCCCCTAGGACTTATAAGCCCAACGGTTGCAAAGGCTAAGATTTTATTTCAAGATATTTGTGTCAGCGGGCTAGATTGGGATGATGTATTGAGTAGGAACTTGAGAGAAAAGTGGGAAAAGTGGTTAGCA